TCTAACAGACTCCTGGAGTGAATACAGTTGAACGACGTTCCTTGTTAAAGGAGGAACAGTTTTCCCAATTGGGTGCTTTTTCACAAGTCGTTCTCAGGATGTTCTTTAAACAGTATTAAGATTATTATACTGGCTCCTGATCTATTTAAAAGGTCAATTCAAAAGATGGTAACTTTGGAGAGATAGATAGATAGATAGATAGATAGATAGATAGATAGATAGATAGATAGATAGATAGATAGATAAAACCTTCTTGTCTCACCCTGTTTCTGAGTGTTAAGATCTGGAAGTCCTCTCTAGATTTCTGCCTAAGAGACTTTTTCAGTCACAGTATTCTGACTTTAGAGCTCTCTCATAAAGCAGCTCTGATAAGTCCTTATATTTTGATGAAGTTCAGTAATCCCTCTAAATCACACCTTTTGTGATACAATTCACATCCAAAGTGTAAGGTATTTGCACCATGGTCTGTCCAGGTAGATCTGCTCAATTCTTTTTTAATTCAAGAATGGAATTGCTAAGAATGCAAGTTTATCAGCTACCTACTTTTTTATTTTTTTGGTTAAATCATTGACATCAGAAATGAAGATACTGGACAGTTGGAAGAAAAACAGTCAATCTGTGCAAAAAGACTGGTTTTCACTTATCTCTGATGCCTCCCAATATCTGAGGCTTTCTTCTTAGTCTGGGACCCCAAAAATGTCTATCCAGAAGGCCAAGCTATTCTCACTCAGACCATCCTCTCTGTCATAAAATCTGCTTTTGTTATGAAACTCAAGATCCTATTCAAGAATATAACATGTAACTAACTACCTTAATTCTACTTATATTTGGATGCTATGTTTGTGATTGCTATCTTCCCTTGCTTTTTCTGTCTTCTTTTCCCAAGTTAGTTTCTTCTTACATATGGATGTCTTGCCATACTGTTTCAAAAGATGAGCTTTGGACAAAAACAACCAAAAGCTGATTTTCTTTTTATATTGTCCCAGACCTGGATTGACAGGCATTGGTGCAGTTAAGATAGAACTTTGGGGATGCAATTTCAAAGACTACAACAGGTTCCCATTATGTGAAGGTATGTATATGTGTGTGTATACGGATGGACAGACAGATGGAGAGAGAGAGAGAGAGAGAGAGAGAAGGGGCCCACCTCACCATTAAAGCCAGAGTCTAAAATTGCCTAGCTACATCACTGCTGAAAGTTGAGATCTCTTTGACCCAAAAGCTTAGCACTCCTCAGTCAGAAAAGAGATTTAATGTACGATTTACGGATTTGGGGATTAAAAAGGATTAAAGAGGAAGGGGAAAAAGGAAAATGGCAATTACTCGATAGAAAGAAGAGTGGAAGTCATAATTCTATGTTTTCTTTCATTTTTGCACTTCTTTTCTTTTTTTACTTATTTTCTATCTTCTTTTTTCTTTATTTTTCCTTTAATTTTTTTATACTTTTATTGTACTGAAAAATTCTAATAAAATATTGGGGGGGGAAAGAAAATAGGTTTAATGTATCATAATTTTTTTTTTGTATGTATGTGTGTGAGTATTTACATACAGACTCAGACACAGAGAGAGAGAGCAAATAAGAAGTCTATCACTAAGAAAAGCCCAGTAACACAGCCATAAGGGTATACAGATTTAAGAAAGCTTACCTAGCACCAAGATTCACAAACTTTCTATTTACTCTGAATTTCTCTCTTCTGTTAGCTTTTCTGCTGCTGTTTTAATACTGTTTTATTCTGGTTTGGGCTACTGCTCTGTTTTATATGTTTTAATGTAATTTGGTGGTTTAAAATTAGAGGCCTGCTTCCTGAGAGTGGGATAACTTGAAAAAATGAAATAAAGAAGCTGCCAAGGCAGAAAGATCAAGCTAAGAATTTATCAGGATAAGAAGGACAACTTCTTCACCTTCCAGTCAGAACTAGCCTAGCACAGAAAATGGCATTGATGCAGATGGCCTCACGCCCCACCATTCCTGATATAATAGAGATACACAATATGTATATATCATGAGCTCCCTTGTCTGTTGGGCCCTTGGGACTTAACTAGCAAAGACATCTGGGCAAATTCAAGCTGAATATGTCCAAACAGAAGCAAGAACAGAGCCGGTTAGCTCTCTGCAGTGTTCCTCAAAACAACTGCCAGAAACAGGACTTTTTTCCTCCTGTTTTGATATCCTTTGGTCTTTCTTTTCATGTTTCTGTTAGGATGCCTAAATATTATTGCAATGTGGAATTATATGGCCTTTCCGACTAATTCTTGAGGACTCAGGGGACCAATCTAGGCCATCTGTTGGAGGCTTCATGTACAATGGAAACAAAGCAATCTGTAGTTGACTACTGTAACAGCTCAACATCACCCCTCAAACCCCTTTTTTCTCTCTCTTACCATCTTTCTGACACTACCCTGTCTCTCAACCAAGCAGCAGACAGCAGGGAAAGAAAAGACGTACATAAGCTTTGAAATTAGGCCTGAGAGCCACATATGGTCCTAGATCTTCAAGCTGCTATCCTTAATCTAGGACATCCTACGGATCATGAATTAATGGAGCTTCAGATTCCTTTTTGGGTACCAGCAAAAAGAAAAGTATACAACAATATCTTTCACTTGCTGCACTTCCAGTAGTATCTCCAGCCTCAGTTCAGAAAAGTGGAGCACATTATTTTTAATGGAATTAATTAACTAATTAAATGCCAGACAATTAACCAATCATTCATTTGTAGCTGTCATTTTTGTTTGTCTTATTACTCTACCAAGACATACTGTACAGCCAAGCAGCCAGCAGATTTTTCCCCTGGAAATACCTCTAATGTAAACTGTGATCTGTAAGTGCCAGCTAAGGAGTCTTCCTTAATGAACAGGAGGCCTGGCATGGAAAATGCTGAAAGCAGCATCTATATTCTTCTCTCTGTCCGAGAATCTGAATGAGATGAAGGGTCCCTGGCATAAAACCAAACTTCCAAAATGCCACTGTCCACTCAGCATGCAAATCTCATTATGTCTTCCTACACCTGTTATTGCCACTCTTAAGAATGTATGACACCAACATGAAATGTCCACAGTTAGGACATATTATGAAGGATGAGGAAGAACCAGGGCACAGTTACTTACATCACTGCACACTGAGCAAATGAGAGGTAGTCCACCAGCACGTCCAGGCCTTTGTTTTCATCGTTGAGAAATTCACGCACCCATCTGCAAAAACAAAAAACCAAATTGGACCCCAAAATGTCACTTATTTTAGTGATGTGACTTACAGACTGTGTTCAGACTCAAACTGTGGTGCTATTTGAGGTCTATCCTTCCAACCAGCTTTCCCAACCTAATGCCCTCCAGATGGGGCAACACCTCCCAGGATTTCCAGCTGATGCAGGATTGCCTCTTTATATTCTCAAAGAGTGTTTAACGAAAGGTATTTATTTGTTTATCCATCCAATTTTGAGGCCACCTGGCTCCTTGACCACTCTGGGCAATTTACAGATAAAGAGAAAAACAAAATAACAGTTATGGCCTACCTGACACTTAATCATTGAGCTCCACTAGATATTAACTTGGAATCCTTCAATAGGCACATCAGTCACATCCATTTCTTTCAATTCCTTGAATCCTGCTTGCTGCCCAATATAATTTTCTCCTCTTTCCTCCTCCTCAGTGTCTTTAGGTTCATAGGTTCACACTGCCATTTCATCAATTTGACTATGGCAATCCAAGTGATTGTGACTCTCAGGAATGGGTTGCTACAACCTGGGTTTATGTACACCCTGAAAATTGTAATACTTTGGCTAAAATTAATCTCATCTTCCTTCTCCTCCTCCTTCTTGTTGGCTCTTCTGTTTCTACTATTTTCATAAACACTGGTTACACTTGATCATATCTAATCTTGTTTTATGTTAAGAACTCAGGGGTGAATTTTTGCCTAAAAAGGAAGGGTATTCATTTGTTGTGTAAATTAGACAGGTGCATAGAATCTTGCACAAAAATAGAATTCATTGTCTCCTGCAATACGCTGAATTAGTATTTAGAGCAGGGTTTCCCAAACTGTGAGGTATACTTCCTTTGGGGAGGTGGTGCAGACAGAGTCCAGGGGAGGCGTGAAGAACTTTTTAGTTGTACGTTGATACAATAAATACACATTTCCCAAAGTTTCAAGATATTGTTTTCATTGTTCATTTGGGTGTTTGGATTTTTAGGGGAGGTATGTACATTAAGATTACACTAAAGGGAGGTGTGATGGAAGTGTAACCAGTGTTTATGAAAATAGTAGAAACAGAAGAGCCAACAAGAAGGAGGAGGAGAAGGAAGATGAGATTAATTTTAGCGATATGATCAAGTGTAACCAGTGTTTATGAAAATAGTAGAAACAGAAGAGCCAACAAGAAGGAGGAGGAGAAGGAAGATGAGATTAATTTTAGCCATTAAGATTACACTAAAGGGAGGTGTGATGGCAAAAAGTTTAGGAACCCCTGATTTAGATACGTGAAAACTCACATGAATGACAACAGTCTGAGGGGGGGTAGCCTATTCAACAGAGACCAACTTGAAGATTCATGGGACTGAAACTGGAATTGTGTATGCAAAGCAAATATGCTCCAGTGGGGTGTCCCTTCCCAATGGGAACTTCTTTCTCAAAGACTACATTCAAGTGAGCGCCTATCTCCAACTTTCAGAGGCACCAGCCTAGACATCAGACATCAACACTTCTCATTTTCAGTAACTCCAATCAAACTCAGCTCATTTGTAGGACTATGTTCAGTCTGGAGTTTTGGAGTGATGTATATAAACTGGACAGGGTTCACAGAAAACAGAAGAACGTGATAAATTTAGAAGGAAACCACCAACTGTGGCCCACCCAATGTGTGTTCGGGGAGATTGTGGTAGCCCCTAGTTGCTGTAAACAAAGCAACTGGTACAACTTTATCTTTCAATAGCAGGGAAGGGAGGGTTTGCTTAGGCTCCAAGACATCTGCTGGAGATCCCTCAGCCTCTTGTAGTCATTGATGCAAGGAGAGAAGTGACATGGGGAACTAATCTGACGAATCTGTAGGGAAAGAATCAAACTGTACCTGTTGGGTAGTACCAAATGAAGCTGTGAATGTGTGTAACTTTGTACGTGGAGATGTGCCAACCCAGGAACAAGTACTGTACATCATAACAGAGAGAATGCCTGCAGCTAGTGGTTTCAGTATGCGTGTTATTTCCTGAAGTAGCTTTGGCTGACTGCAATTTTGTCCATTAATCATCTGGACCCATATGGTCTCTTTCTCTTTCTCTCTTTACACCCGCCCATTTCCTGCCTGTCTGAACTTCAGCCTCCAACCCCAGTGTGTTTCCTGTCTGATTTCAGTGGCTGCACTGCTAATTTAGAGTCCTCAGTGCATTTGCTGAAGGCTAAAGGATGTGGAGGAGGGAGCAAAGGCTCTCTAAGGCAAATCCCATCCTGTAGTCAGGTAAGGAAGAGGAATTATGAGTGGGGTGTGAGTTCCTTGCAGAAGAGGAAGCCACACAGCTTTTTTTTTTTAATGCATGCTTATATAGTTATTTCTTTACAAATGCGTCTGCTGCTGCTGTGCCTGTTTAACCACAGCTGATTGGCAGAGCACATGTTGTGTATATAGGTCTCCCCAGGATTTACAAGAAACATTCTCAACCTATGACCTGGAGAGCCATTGTCAATTACAGCAAATAATACTAAGCTAGATCCACCAAGCCTTTGACAGTGTAAGGTCATCGTATGCCTTCGTAGGAAGGAATAAGTAGCCCCAAGGGCATGTGAGAGACAAGCCACAGATGAGGGTGAGCACATGCGTGCCCTTGTATTCATTTGTGTGTGTGATGCAAACAATCACTGGGCTTAGGAAAGCCCAACAGACTGCTTCTAACCAGGAATATCACTAACACTAACTAGGGAAAATAGATCTCCAGTGGCTCAAACAAGTGGCCCAAGATTTGGGAGGGAGGGAGGGAGGGAGGGACACAATTACCGATGTTTGAGAAATTTTGGACTGAACCCTGCTGGGTTACATTATGGGATCTCTTTTCTCCTCTAAAATAATTTATCTGACTAGGCAAGCCTGTTGTTTACCAGAAAGCAAAAGTAAGCTTTAGAAAGATAGAGGAAATCCTATCAAGGACATGGGGATGTTTGTAGCAGTGGAAGACTGCCTGCACGCAAGCAGGTTACCCTCCAAGACGGTACAGATGAGCAGGGATTGCTTTGTGTCCTTGCACACTCCCTTCTCCCCCAGAGAATTAGAGCCTGTTCCCCCCGTGCCCAACCCTATCCCCATCTTAATCATATCCTCCTAAAGTCTTTCTCTCCCAGTGATTCTGCTGTGTCCAAGTCAGGGACACGCTCCAAGTTATATTCTTATCATGGTTGTTTCTTTTTTAAAACAAACAAAGCCACTCAACATTCTGTACCAAATTATCCGATTCCATTCCCAGAAATGTTGAATTCCGTGGCTAGTTGGTTATGGAAATTAAGCCATACTAGGCAAATCACATGTTTATGGGGAATCCTGGGAGTTGAAGTCCACACTTCTTAAAGTTGCCAAAGTTGAGAAACACTGGTCTATATGATCTATCTGTATCTATCAAAAGGCACAGAACTTTCAAAACCACCGGAAACTCCACTGTGGGTAACTAGCATGGACCGTCCCAAACGGAGGGGCCTTTGTTTATCCAGCCTTAACCCTTTTATGTACATAACAGGAGCACAACAGAGATGGAAAGTAGGATGATCACAGGGTGGTCCCTCTTATACTTTGCACCATGAAGGAAACAATTGGTGGATGGGAATGACACATCCAAAAGAAAAGTTGAAATGTATTGACTGTTGTTCTGCTCAGCCAACATAGATTTCTGAGCTTTCTCTTGCGGAAGAGATGCTGGCCCAGTTATTCTTGTCTTCTCATTATAATGTTTGGTTCTGAGTGCAGAAAATGTCCCATAAATAACTTCCATGACTCACTCTTAGGAAGCAGAAAAGATTTACATGTATCTATTTTCAGTAAAATCTGCACATATAATTTTTTTCTCACTCTTGTATAGGAACCAGAGCATGAAATATTATTCCAATAAATCATTGTACAGTACTTTGCCATTTTTCATGCCATTTAGCACAACGTATCATATTTGTCATCACAATAAAGCCTGCATCATCACTGTTGCCAATAACAATTAAAACTTGACATTTATAATGCCATACTTCCCTAATTGAGGGAATAATTTCTATCTACTGTGACATTAGAGCGGAGACTGTTTGCTTCAACATGGTCCGGTAAACTCTTAAAAAACAGTTTTCAGCTATCTCCATGCATTCTTTCTCCTTGACCAGTGCTTTGACAAGCAAAAGGAAGAGGTCACCATTTGGTGCCAGAAAATTATTTTTTAATAACATAGTGGTGCTTTGGGGGAGAAAACTTTCTCCCCTTCCGGGTGCCTGGGAGAAAGAAACACTGTGATAATTAATTGCAAGCCTAGCTTTCTTGACCACAATAAACAGTCCTGGCAGAAGAGTCCAAACTATTTCTATAAAGGGCTGATTGTTACAGCACTTTTAACTTTCATTGTCCATATTACAGGCTACATGGCAAATTTTCCATCCCATTAAATAAAATTAGTAGCTTTGGAAGAGAGTTGGTATACTGGTTAAAGAGCAGTATGGAGTGAGGTACAATGATTAAAGACTTGGATTAAGATCAGAAAATTCCAAATTCATCTTCCCATACAGGCTGAGTGAACAGTGGGCTGGTCCCTGTCTCTCAGCCCAATTCTACCTTTCAGCACTGAGCTGGGGATAATATGGCTGAATCATACCTCTAGCAGTTTCTAGGCTATGAAAAAGGATGTCCTTATTTTTAAGGAGCTTCTAAGGTCCTTTTTTCCTTACTGGCATATTCCTCAAGAATGGGCAGGTGGAGTACACATACATACTGTAGTTCTGAGCTCCTAGAGAAACATGGGATATATTGTAAATGTTGAAGATAAAGAAATAAAAACTTCACATGACCTGGCTGGCTACCTTGTTTGGATTGTTCAGCTGAACACAGTAGTTTGGATTTCCAGATTTTAGTCCTTTGTGTCCATAATTCACTATCTACTATAATTCAGATGATGTGGGGCAGGGGGGATCTTTAACGCTGCACCCTGTGCTTGCAGAACAGTTGAGTCTTGACTTAATGAAGAGTTTTGGAATAGAAAGCCTGAATGGGCTCTTTTCTGACACTGTATGCACCACGATTCTCACCAGAAATTCACCCATGCACCCCATTTCACTGGATGTAAAATATTTGACTCTGCCCCACACTCCTAGCATTTGGCAATCCCTCATCCCTTTCTGATTCCTGAATCTCACACCCCATGTTACTGTTTGTTCAGTCCTCACCAAGGGGCTTTGCTGACTAAGCGTCACCCTTGGGGTCAGTTCCAGCCAACCTGAGGAATTCCCACCCAACCGTGCCCAGAATCCAAGGACAGGAACAGTTCAGCTTCCTGCTCTTGTTGGTGTTTCCCTTCCAGCTGGAACCAGGACAGGTGGGAGACAGGAACACATTTCCTAACTCTCCATAGCAGGCTTGCAAACCTTTTAGATAGGATAGGAATTTCTCTGGTAGGCTGTAGCAATCTAGACACAAAATTTAGGGAGTAAGGAAGACAAGGGATGAAATCAGCGTTTCCCTGTTCAAAATACTGCACTTGAATGGGAAATGGCTCCTATCTTAAATCTGTCTTCTTGTCAGACAGAAGGGCTGCTTTGAAGCTATAGCACAGGAAGAGTTCAAGTCAGAAAAGACCCAGATTAACTTTCTTCCTTCTGACAACCCATCTCCTGGCTGGGTTCTCACAACACACAAGTTAACAAAACATAATTGTGGTGTTCACATAGAATACTATGCCCTCTCCCCCCAAATAATCCTTTTTTTAGCTTAATGGGAGGGCTTAATTCACACAATATATTAAAACATAATATCTCAGAAATATCGAACCATAATCTATAAAGTCTAATCTGGTACGTTGTGCAAACCCAGCAATCACCTGTATTATAGTTTAGGCTTGCCCACTAATGAGCATTAACTGCTATTCTGTATTTAGAGACCAACTTGAATGTACGAAGAACTGTGTGGATCAGAGCAAAGTAAGGATTTATGCAATCCAGCAGCCAGAGAGAAAATACCCTAGCCTTGTGGGAGAACACACAACATCAAATGTCATGCCTACTCAAGTGGCACTCTCTCAGACTTCAACGTGACACATGATACACTTGTTCAAAAAGTTGGTTAACAATAACTTACCCAATGTGATTAGTCCTTAGAGAGATTTCCAGCTCCCTTAGCACTTTGGTGGATTCCTGCACTCTCCGACGGAACTTCTGTAAGCATAAAGAACTCCCTGTTCTAACAGTATTCAGTGCAATCACTCTGTTTATTTTACAAATGAACCATGATTTGCAAGGACAGGATTGACCATCAGGTTAAGTATGCTGGCATTTCCTTTTCCATCACTCTTCATATCCCCCTACTTCATTATTTATTAATAATAAAAAATAATCATTTTAATAATTATTTATTAATACCATTTAATAATTATTATTAATTACCGCCCAGGGTCCCCCATTGTGGGGAGATGGGCAGGGACAAGCCTACTAAATAACTAAATAAATAAATTATTAATACCATTTATTATAGATTTTGGAAAAGAGGATGTGTCTAACCATTAACAAGATGGATATGTCCATAAGTCAGAAGGATTTGGGCTTGATTCAATGGTAACTATCTTTTTTTTTTTTTTTTTAAAAAATAAAAAAATTTTTTTTTTTATAAAAAAAAAAATTTTTTTTTTTATAAAAAAAAAAATTTTTTTTTTTATAAAAAAAAAAATTTTTTTTTTTATAAAAAAAAAAATTTTTTTTTTTATAAAAAAAAAAATTTTTTTTTTTATAAAAAAAAAAATTTTTTTTTTTATAAAAAAAAAAATTTTTTTTTTTATAAAAAAAAAAATTTTTTTTTTTATAAAAAAAAAAATTTTTTTTTTTATAAAAAAAAAAATTTTTTTTTTTATAAAAAAAAAAATTTTTTTTTTTTTTTTTGAGAAAAAATAAAATAGCTGCTGCTGCTGTTAAGCATGGCCTGCACTGTGGAGGTTCGGAGGTGGTTCTGAGTGGCACGAAGGCCTTGTGTGTAGTGCCCACCGAGTCCCATTTGCTTGTTCGGCATTGCCAAGTTGCTGCCTGCCCAGTGGGTTAGTAGATAAATCACTGCAACTTGTGGGTTGTAGGGTATATTTATTTTTTACAGTTACAACTGTATATTCAGTAGCTTCCACTATAATGACTCCTCCCTTACACTTGATTGGTTTTCATAATGTTCTGCTTGGGCCAATGCACAGCTAATGCTTTAGTGAACCATAAAGTGTGGGGGAGGGGAGGGGAGGGGAGGGGGAAAGGTTTCTTTGGTCACCATCCTCCTAACACTGGAAGCCATTTTAAAGAAGACTTTTAAGGCTTACCTTCCGGGTGACTCCTGGATCGAGGAAGCTCTTCAATTTCTGGATATATGTGTGAGGTGGATTCTTCACTTGAAACCTTTCCTGGTCCATGTTGGGGAGGAAAAAGAAATGGAGGGAAGGGATGGAGGGAATTATTGGGTATGCAAGAAGTCTTTGAAGGCCAGCACTAGGGATTTGTTAACCCAGAAGCCTCCCTCAGTATGTGAAGGAGAGCGCTCACTTGTACTGAACGCACGCCAGCCAGGGACTCAACTTAGGTTCCTACTAATCCAAATAGCAGATGCTTCTTTATGGCTGCTTCCCTAATAAACCTGAAAGGAAAGCCATTTTCAGTTTGCGCTCCACCCGGATATTTTCTGCTCTGGCTCCTCAATAGCCCTTTTCTTGTGCTCACATGCTAGAAAAGTCTATCCCGCTGATTTCAAGGCGGTAAGAATAGGCATAATTGTTCTGCATGAGTTTTACTTCTAATGCACAGGAATATAGGATCAGGTTGTAAATAACCAACCTGAAAACCATTTTCTTGCCAAAGTTGTGTTCTTTGCCAAATGAATTAATGGAGTTTGGGCACTTAGTTCTTAAGTTGCTGCTATTATTGCAAGATGAAAGGCCTTCAGGTACGAGATTGGCGAGCGTATTAGATGTCCTACATTGGGCTTTAATCGTCCACAGTGTCAGCCTGATCCTGACAGCCTCCTCTAATTCTATGGACAAATATTGCCCATATACGTGTGTGTGTTTGAGCACAGCAGTTCTTTACAGGATTTGTTTTCCTCCCCAGGTGGTTTTCCCCTGACAGCACATCTCATGAAAGGCAATTTTCCTTTAAAAGAACCCAAGAATTATCCCAGGGATTCTGTGCCCATGTACTGCTCTTGAGAAAAGTTTCTGGGCTGTAGCACACAACCACTTTTCTTGGCCAAACTTCCCCAGTTTTGTTTTTTTTTTTAAAGGGAAATAAGGGAAGTATTAGCAGTGAGTCCTGTCGGGTGGTATCTCACGGATACCCCATGAAAATGCCAGGCCTCTCTCGTGTCTTTTAAGTGTTGTGCTTTATAGTAATGTTTCTTAAACTTTTTTCTCTCAGGACCCCTTCCCACTTTCAAAAATTATTGAGGACCCCCAAAGCACTTCTGTTTGTATGGATTATATTTATTGATATTTACCATATTAAAAACTAAAATTGACATATTCGCTGCCACTATGCATCTCACAATTGTTTGATGGGATTTTACTATTGTATTATTTTTCAGCATAGGCTGGCAACTAATTTTGATTTTGCAGAACCCTGAGAGGGTCTTGGGGGACCCGCAGGGGTCCTCAGACCATACTTTGAGAAACGATGCTCTACAGAATATCAAACTGACCAAAATTGTCCAGAGTTTAAAAAGCACAGGAGCTATAAGTGAAATTAGGTTTTTTTCTCAGTTGGTCTGTAAAGGGGTTCTACCTGGATCAGGTATAGAAGTTTCCCATTGTTCACAGGGATAACAGAGGGACTATTTTCTCTCTCTACACACACACACACATATACATATATGCCAAAAACTTCAGCAGCCATGTATAAAGAGTGCCTTAAGATAAGGAGATGTTGCCTGCTCTTTTAAAGGAAGTCAAAGCCCTGTAGATCAAGGGGACCAAATGCTGTTTCTGGCAACAGTCCTCTTGCCTGAGTCATCAGCTGATGTGCCCTGACATGTCTTGTCCCTTTCATGTTGGCAAAGTCTCTTTCTATCTCCAGCCCTCTTACCTGGTCGCAAATAAGGTCCCATTTCTTCTCGTTGTCATATTGCCGGAGAAGACGGGCCTTGTCAGGAGGGAGATTCATGGAGCTCTGTGGAAAGAAGCAGAGGGACAGATAGTAGAGAGGGACACCAAAATTGCCTTCTGAGTCCTGGAATGCATCTTCGAGAGAAAGAGGAGGATTGGATGTGTTGTAGGATGTATGGGTTACTGTTCACATTCTGCAATGGGCTGCTCCTGTGATGGGCAGGGTTGGCAGACTCTCAAGACCCATCTGGACTGGATAGCAGAAGAATGTACTGAATTGTCTAGAATCCAGAATTAAATCGAAACAGAGCGCATCCAGGCCAATAGCCTTCAGTGTCCTTGTGCAAGGATCAGACTTTTGTTACAAGCTACAACTTTTACTGTGCCGTCCTGCACCTCTCTGTTTGGAAGCAAAGCTCACTGAGTTCCCTGGGATGTCCCAGGTGACTGCAGCTCAAACATGTCATTTTATAAAATATTGGGGGGGGGTATTTTTTAACCCCCAAGCTGTCTCCCCCCTCCCCCCAAAATTAATTTCTCCTGTATGTCCCTAACCAAGTCTTTTTCTGAGGCTTGCTCCAATGCCTACCACCAAACAAAGGGAGGTTCTAACCACTGGGTCAGGGACTTTGGGAGGAGAGGCAGCCTGCTTATGGGACTGCTTTCCTAGGCAGCTTTGCTAGCTTTTTTTATCCATTGATTTGCATTCATCTACTGAGGTTATACGCTACTCACTCACTGACAATTCTGAATGTACACTGATCTGACATCCATAAATCTGCACATTTCTCAGCATCCAGTGACAAATTCTTTATTCCCCTAAGCTTCCTTAAATAAATTATGTCCTCTTCAACTTCTCTGTTTTAAAATCTGTGTTTTCACTCTAAAGTTGTTTTCTGTTTTGTTTTGGATACCTTTTGTGTATACTCTGTCTGTCTGTCTGTCTATCTATCTATCTATCCATCCATCCATCTGACAGCCAGTGTAGTATCATGGTTAAGGCGCTGGACTCAGACTGAAGAAACCTGACCCCCACCATGGAGTTCATGGGATTATTTTAGGCCAATCACTCTTTCTCAGTCCAACCACCTTCATAGGGTTGTGGTGGGGATAAAATTAGGGAAGGCCTCATGTATATTACCTGGAGCTCTGTAAAAAAAAAAAAAAAGTTGGATACAAATGCAATAAAAAGATAAGGTGGATTGATGGCTTATTTTGTATTTGTATTATCTTATTAAATATTTATTATAAGTTGCCCAAAGAACTCAATGTTACGGAGTTGCAAACAAACATCTATAAGCCGCCCTGAACTGTGAAAAGAATGGTCGGCATTCAAACATTCTAAACAAACAAACATTTTGTCTTCCACTTCCTTCCTCCTCTGTTTGTTCCGATCCTAGAAACATCGGGTTCCAACCCTGGAACATCTGTTCTGTTGTCAAAGATACTGGAAGTGTTCCGCCATCAGAACAGATCATTCCAACTTTACTGGAGTGCTCTGACCTCCCCGTGGACAGTCCAAACTGGAATGGAGGCAAGAACAACACATGACAAGATTAGACCCCTTCCAGTAAGGTCATTCCATGCCCCAAAATGGGACACTTTTGATGAGGTCAGAACAGGCCATACGAAGATGATGACAGATGGAATTGTTGGAGGGGGGATGGAATGTTTTGACCTTGAAAGAGCCAGGCTGGTCCAGCACATCTGGAAGGAACCAGGTTGGGGAAGGCTGGCTTCTCATTTCTCTTTCCCTTTCAGGATGATTTCTGCATCAGAGAACAGCCTCCTGGGAGAGGAAAACCTTCCATCTTTTCCTTCTATTTATTTTATTCTACTTTATTCTATTATTTTTATTTTGCATCTTCATCTCTGGTCTAAATGAATAGCATAGATATGATAGCTTTAGGGCTTAGTAAGAAATAATAACCAAAATGAGAAAGACAAATGAAACTGCCTTACAGTATTCTGAATCACGCCATTGGTTCGCCTACCCATTAATTTGTGCTATGCGTAGAAACTCTTCTTCCCACCTTGAAGGCTTCAAGCAGGGTTTTCTCCCAGGACCTAACAATCTGAAATAATTATAACTGAGGACTGCTGTGAATCCAACCTGTCGCTTTATTATCCAAGTTTGTTTGTTTACATTATGGTAGGAAGTGAACTGAAAGTAATTTGAAAAGAGAAGGATGTTTCTTACATCTGCACTCTTTCCACTCTTGTACTTTCTAGTTGCTTCATAAACTAGTATGCCAAAGAAGCTAATCCTCTTCTCAAACCATGCTTACCTTTTTAAAATTAAAATATGCCAAGAGACTAATCCCAGAAAGGAGCCTCTGGTGCTGGGGATAGACTGTTCATATAGGCATGAAAAACAGCTTGAGGTGCTGTCAATGTTGCTGGCTCTAGTTTTAGCAACAGAAGTGAATATGTGTAGCTCAGGGTTGAACTGTGGAGTCCTTGGGGTTCTCTAAGCTTGGTTGTTTGCTTGAAAACATTTCATTACCCGGCAAGGTAACATCTTCAGTGCTAGGCAACTAGCCGGGTAATGAAAAGTTTGCAAGCAAACAGCCAAGCTCAGAGAACCCCAAGGACTCCACAGCTGTCGTTTTCTCCAGATCTTGCTAGATGAAAGAGTGATTTCTTCATGCTTAGAATAAAACTTAGAAGCTTTCCCGCAAAGGTCTGTAGTTGGTGGCATTCAGTACAGCAAAATCAATCCATTCTAAGACTAAGGAAGGTTGAATTTTTTCAGTGCCTTGCCTCATTCAATGGTAGACATTTCCAATGTCTAACTCTGTGTTTGTGTGTCCATGTAGGCCTTCAAGTCACTCTTGATTCTTGCAAACTACAAGGGCAAGTTCATGCAGCTTTCTAGGCAACATTTTCAGAAGTGGCTTGTCTTTGCCTTCTTCCTAGGAATAAGAGTAAGTGACTGGCCCAAAGGTATCCGGTTGGCTTCCATGTAGAACGCAGGACTAGAACTCAGGCCTTCCCACTCCTAGGCCAGCATCTTAACCACTACACCAAATTGGCTCTTGTATATAAATATATATAGCAAGCTCTCCCCGACCCAGGATTTTACAAATCTGTCCTTTTATCAGAAGTTCAGGCATGCTTAATACTATATGGCTGTACGGGAATGACACTAAAACATGTTTCCCCACTCATGTGCAGCCATATTTGTTCCTTCCCACCTTGTTCAGTAAATAACCACATTAGAGAAAGTACAGCATAATGCTTTTAGGCAACAATATGTGCCAGAAGCAGCCTTTTTTTATTTTTCCTACCCAAGGAAGCATTTGTTTTCAGGAAATTACAAAAAAAAAAAAAATCCTAAAAATAAAATCAAACATGACTCACTGCAATACTGTCATGTCCATGTGGTGGTCAGCCTATGATACATTCAGCAACTAAAACAGTTCCAGAGTTTCATACTGACAATGTAAGAAGTAGCTTCTGTATATGTGAAAAGCTAAAAGCTGAAATCATATTTTTGGTTTAGGTTTTCCCTCTTGCAATCCAACAAAACTGAGTTTGTATAAACTTTTAGACTGGTTTCTACTTTGGAGAGGCAGGTGAATAGGCATGATGCTAACAAAGCACTTGTGGGGCCAAGGGAAGACCGCATTTTTGTTGGAACACCACTTGAGTGATTCCAATTAGCATGATTTCTCTTACCTTTTTTTTTTAGAAAGTGGTCTCTCTGGGGTCTAGGGAAGACCCTAGGACAAGACTTTTATATACTATGGGATAAGTGTTAGCAATTGTATTAACATCTCTTATAATCCAAAACATCTCATCTCTAGAGGCTTCCTGTCATATCTCTCTGTGATGTACTTCTCAGACCTTGTTTCTGTTCAGCCTAATGTAGGGTGACACCCTTCCCCTGAAAGTTTGAAAAAGTTGGGGGCTGGGATTCCCAAACTCAAGTTTTTCTGTCGTAAAATAAAGTGTCTCTCTCAACTGTAAATTCAGAGAAAAAGGGATAGCTCAGCTACCTATGAGAATGACTAGAGTAGAATTTTCTGAGGTATGCATTTGTTTTTAGATACTTGCTTCGTGTACACCTGGGGACGCCTGCATCTTGGCAACATCAATCATAAAAAGAAAGCAGAAAGGAGGGCAAATCTCTCAAAGAGTGATGCCAATTTGTTTTGTGTGTGTGCGCTGTACAGGAGCAGCACTGTATTTAATCATCACCTTTCTTCAAGACTGGAATCTCTTTAATTCTGGGATTCACTCATCCTATATAGAATTTGTCTCTAAGAACAGAACACGTAACATTTTTCAAGCATACTGTAGTGCAACTGAATGTGTACAGATTTCACAACCTGTCCCTCAAGCATGCATGAGGGAAACTCTCATGGGGCCATGACACAGCTCCTGGTGGTACAATTAACTTTTCACCTAGCCATGCCATCACTAGACCAGCATTAGTGCCAAATCTTCCAATACAATGTCCTGGTTACAATTCATACCCATAACTCATGATGGATAGAAAGTTCAACCAGGATTTCTAGGGAATTTACATCAGACAGCAATAGTTTTGACACTCAGATGTTTAAGAACAGTGTTAACAAGAAAGCTGTCACTGACTAATTAAACTGCTGAGCTGGAGGCAGCTTGTTGTAAAGGGGTGGATTTGTATAGGAAAAGACTTTGAGCTCAGTGCTGAGAACAACCTTCTCAGCTGAACAAGTGCTCAAAATCAGCTTTAATTTAATCTTCAATCTCTGCCCTACTTTGAGCCACTCTTCATTTCACACCTGAATCTGGTGGGTGGACTGAATGTTCAAAGGGGGGAGGGAAGCAAAGTAGGTCTCACAAGCCTCCATAAAGTCTTCTCAATCCCACCCCAGTACACAGCTGCACTTTATGTTGGTGTTGCTGCAGCATTTATTTGGGCTTTTTAGGCCACATTTGCTAATTAAGGATCCTGTGTGAACAAAGCTTTTGAGGGAGTTCCCACAGATAATACCATCAGCAGAAAATTCTGGTCTCCACCCTTAGGAAAGTGACTGCATTGGGGATGGGTGAAAATAGGTCTCAGATTACAAAGCC